TATGCACCGTTTTCATTTCTTTGTGTTATGTTTGTTCCCTCGTCAACAAAATCATGTTCTATTCATTGAATTATTTTGGGGATTATTTTTATATTTATAAGAGTATTTGTGGGACAAGGGGACATATTTGTCTAAAAGAATTAGTCGGATGCTTTAAAAGGCCCGAATACTTTTTTCCAACTCCAATAGTAATGTGATCTTTCAAAAAAAAAAAAAAATTGATTTGTAAATTATGCACGATTTAAGCATATATTCAAATGAACCATATTTTGTTTTTCCGATATATTACTCAGATGTGTAAGACAACTTAGCCAACCACACATTCATATTTTTATATGGCCAAATTTCATCATTAACCTTACAAGTTTTTAGGGTTTAGTTCAGGCCTATCAATAAATTGAATTTTGATCCGAATCCGATTAACCGAATATGAATTAATATTTTTATCCATAATTTGAACTTGAATCCAAATTCGATATCTTATATTTTACGGATTCGGATTTAGATATACCTATTTCCAATCTAATCATAATCCGATTTGAATTATTTATATATTTCTACATAAATACCAAAGAAATTGAGTATTTAAAAAAATTTGTCAAAACTTAGGTATAATTTGTTAAAATTTAGTTAATTAAGTTATTCAAATCGAATTTTCAGATTGTATTCTGAATTGTTAAAGGATTCAAATATGAACTATGAAATTAAAATCTGTTGTATTCTTAGATCGGATTCGAATCAATCCAAATCCGATCCATCGACAAACCTAGTTTAGTCTATTTGATCATTCTTTAGTTTTAGGATGTTGCCTTCTCTATTCACAACGGAAATTAATTATAATCCTATCCCCATTTGGGTCCTTCCACGTGAAGTGATTAGATTGTAATACTGATATATTATTGTAAAGACTAAAATCGTATTTATCTGACAGTGTGACACATTTCTTGTGTAATGAAGAAACATATCAAGGTACGAAGATTAAAATACTTGGTTGTTGTTAGCTACCATGTCGAAGGTTAAACAATTTATTACTCTTGCAATTTCTTACACGCAACAATTAATTAGGTCATAGAAACTCATGTTGACAATCTGGGTATTTTGAGAAATTCATATATAATGTCCACATATTAATATTTTTTTTAAATTTATGTATTTTGAGAAAATTTTATCGATTTTTTTTTAAAATGGGTAAAAATTAATTTTAAATCATGTAATTTTGAGTGTTTGAATAATACGTATTATGGCTAGCTGTCTTGTAAAAGACACGTAGTTAACTTGATCAAAGTGGTTTATGTATTGTAGTTAACGTATACAAGAATCATGAGTCACGGGATATTTAATTTAGACGATTCTAGATTATAAAAGAATGATTTTGACAACTTGATATGAAAGAATATGGGAATACAAGTATACCTAATAAGAACAAAGGTTCAAAATCAAATTTAAGTGTTGTTGATTGGTTAGGCAAAGATGAAATGGGTTGTTAAGAGTAGAACGAACGGCATGTTAATTGTACATGTCATAACTCACAAGTCCATTCTAGTGACCTTAGGGAATGTGACATGTTTTTTGGTTGATCATAGATATATTCAATACCCTAATGAACACTTGCAAGTTATTTAAGTTCAGTGATATAAACTAAAAAATTATGACCAACAAGTAACGGGATTTAAAATTAGATGTCTTGAATTTAAATTTTGGTGATTTCTTGGGGACAAGCCATGAGGGATTTATCCCTCAATAATATCCTAGTCCTGACGTGAATGATTAGTTGAGATGCACATAAGATAATCTAGACAATCCTGATCGTAGGAAAAAGTATTTATTTCAAAATATCTATTAATAAAAGATAAAATGATGTTATTAACCAATTTCTCCCACTAACTCTTGTGGATTGATATACAAGAAGTAGAGAAACATCGAATAATTCACTTATCGCCCGTAAGTTCGCTCAGTAACTTGAATTTGCCAATACACACGATTTGTGGGTGATTGCATTAATTCAGAATATGCATTGCAACATGGTACAAAAAACTTTCGGCCGAGATAATTTCCTGTTATCCAAAAAATTCAAAAAATTCAGGACCCATCATGAATAAATATACAGTTTTTTCCATTTAAAATTCCAAGCCATTTATTATGGTAGGTTGCAACCTAACTGAATTTGTCACTATTTAATCATATTCATAAATGATTTTGCCTAATAATATGACATACATCTAACTTGTTTAATTCAACAATGGAACCCCACCTCAATAGACCTTTCTAACTTCTTCTTAAGGCAAAATTTTGGACAATCATGGTAACAAATTAGTCGCGGTAGGTCCTAACTGCCTGCGTGGCCACACAAGCACCATAGTTCCATTGACAAAAACATCAAAAAATTGATGGTTTTGAACTTATTCAAAATTTCTCTATTACGGTAATGTAGACAAGTTATAAACCTAAACGTCTTGAATTTAATTCTTGACAATTTTTAGAATTAAACGTTGAGAGATTTATTCCTCATGAATACCCTAAACCCAGCATGAATGACCTGTTTTTGTTCGGATTGGAGAGGGGATTAAGTCAAAATACTCGTAAACTGGCACAAACACTTCTAACTGTTGAACTAAAATAAAAATAAAAATTATCCATTATAATTCTACTCAAGTTTATTCAATGATGGATTACTCGTCGTGCATGATTACGGAGCTTACTTATAAATAATAAATCTAACTTAAAGCCATAATAGTTGGTCTACCATTACGCGAAGTGTAATATAGAGATCTCAACTTGATAACCATATATCCTCTAGTATATTAGTTTTTATTTATTTTTCTCAATAATAGGTCACTTATTAGGAGACGATAAGCCTCTCTGCAGTGGTAAACTTTTTCTTTTGGGACGTAAGTATCTCAATTTTGAGTCGTGGAAGTCTTGGACATGGAGATTTGCGCATATATTTGATTCTCTTCACATCACGTAGTATTGAAAGTCTCGTACACTTGTCTCTAGTGGGTTTTCTTGAATTTATGATGAGTGAACTTCAACTACCATTCAGAAAAATAGAAGAAAGTGTATTGAAAGAAATTTAAATCTAAACTGCAAGAGAGTACTAGTTGTGCAAGAGAGTACTAGTTGTAGTTTTGAACATATTATATTGACTTTTTGAAAACCAAGGGCATTTTTGATAATTCACAGACAACCCCATTAAAAAAAAACTGGTTTTACACAAGGAAATCCCTGATCAATGATCAGTTTGATCTAATAAATTTTTTTTGAATTCAGGTTGCATGATTAAAGGTCAAATGGGAATAATGTTAGGGGGTAAAACAGTCATTTTAAAACACCCCACCACTGAATTCCAAAATGCCCAGAAAGCAAAGGTGACCTACTTGGGCCGGCTTTTAACTATATTTAGCTGAGCAGACAAACACGAACTTATTATCACCGCCGTCGCTTTCTGCAGTTGCTGCTCATCAATTTCCTTTTACTATATACTTTTTTAATATACATGAAAATTATAATATTATAATTTTTGAATTAAATTATTTTTTTAAGTAAAATTACAACAAAATAAGATTAACCGATATTTTATCGGGTTTATTTTTCTATATGCTATTAAAATTACTGTAAAATAAGGTGAGGTTACAACTCGATTTAGTGGGTTTATTATAATAAAAAAGTGTTGTTTGCGATTAATCTCAACTTTTTCAAATTATAATTTTATGCATAAGTATATTAAGTAGTAACAGAGATGAACTATAAACTCAGATGTCCTGAATTTGAATTTTGACAATTTTTTGAGATTACAACATGAGAAATTTATTTTTCATGAAATATCTTATACTCCGTTTGGTATGATGGGAAAATAGAAGGATGAAAAGTTGTAGGGATAAATAAAATATCATGTTCGATAAGGAAGGAAAATAAGAAAGATGAAAAAGTAGATGAGTTCACTTTTCTTTCACCAAAATCAATCCCTCCAAAATTAGAAAGAAAGTGAATGAAAGTTAATTATTTGTATTGAGATGTATCTTATTTGTCTATATATTTTTCAATATGTACATATATTATGTATATATTAATTTCATATAAAAATATAATGATAAAATATGTATTTATATAAATATAAATATAAATATAAGTATATATATATATAAAAAATTAAACATAATTTTAAAAATAAAAAAATAAAAAATAAAAATTTTAAATTAAAAAAAATATTTTTTGCACCTTCACTAGGGGTGAAAAAACACGATGACACTATTTAATTCGACATGAATTTTATGACACGAACTTGATTATAACTCGACATGAACTTAAAAATGATCTGACACACGAACAAAAAATATAAAAGGCTCATAATTTTATAACTCAACACGAATTTAACACGACACAATTCGATTGTCATCCCTAATATTAGTCAACACAAAAAAAAATTAGTTATTTTTATTTTCCATCCATCTATCAAATCAAATACAAAGGAATAAAAGTGTATTATTCATACTTTCCATTCGTTCTACTTTCTATCATTCCTATCAAACGGAGCACGGAGCAATAGTCTCGACGTGGATTACCAGCTTTCGACCAGATTTAAGAGGGAATTAATCGAAATAAGCGTAAACTAATCCGCACACTCTTACCGTTGAAAAAAAATAATACAATAATTTTTTGGATACCGTAGAATTACCATATTTTATATTTTTGTGCCATTTTTACTGTTACTGAGAGATCTGAATGAGTTTCGACCCTTCTGGAGTTACCTAAAAACATTTCTCAACCAGAACAAAAAAAAAAAAAAGGTGAAGAAAGTTCAAAAGATTCCCCAGCTAAAAAGGGAATTGTTTTCTATTTCTTTTTAATTTTTTCTCTTTGTGTGAGATAGACAGGCGGATCCCACCGAAATAAATTAATGAATTCACCACACAACCATCTTAATAAATCCACAGAATTCACCATCTTCTGTATTTTTATTTTTTGCAGCTGTAATTGGCTTGGAAGTTAGAACTCTCAGGATGCTAGGAGTTTCCGGGTTAATAGACAGTTCAGGGGACGGCGCCGCGGCGGCTGAAGCTCAGGAAAGTGGTGGTGCTATTGGTGGCACTGGTGGTGGTCAAGTGGGTGTGTTTGAGACAATTACTGGTGGATTCAGTGAAGAAGAGAAGGTGAGAATGGAGGAAGGAGAGAGAAATTCTGGTGGAAACCGGTGGCCTAGACAAGAAACACTGGCTCTTTTGAAGATAAGATCGGACATGGATGTTGCTTTTAGAGACTCAAGTCCCAAAGGTCCCTTATGGGAAGATGTATCCAGGTAATAAATTTATAAATCTTGTTATGGAATTTCATGAAAATTAGAGTTTATTATGATATTGAATATTTGCTTTTTTTTTTGGGTATGTTTAAAGTGATCTTTTGGATCAAACTTCATTGAATTATTGTTGTTGGGTTAATGAGTCGGTCTTTTTCAGTCCATTTGATTGAAATTTAGAATCTTTCTAGTGTTTTCTTGGGAATTTCAGAATCAAATCTATCTTTCAATTTGGGAGGAATTGTTCTTCACAAGCATTGATTCTCCGAATTTCTCCCTCCATCTTAAACCTTTCCATTTAGCATAATTCAGTTAAGATGGAACTCGAAGGTCGTAAAACAAACTCCAGGAACATATGTTTTTGGTATTAAAACTCTACGAACATGAAACTTGTGCTTTCCTAGGAAATGTGTTTGAATTTGCTTGTTTTTCATTCTTGGGTGCCCTCTCTCTCTCTCTCTCTCATTGAATTATTGTCTTTGGATTAAAGGGTCAGTCTTTTTAGTTCATTTGATCCAAATTCATAATCTTTCTGGCATTCTCTCTCTTTCTCTCTCCCTTGTCTTAAATGCTTAAATATTCATGCTCAGTTACTTCTGTAAACGTGTGTTTTTCTTTGGATCTCCTCTCTCTCTCTTGTTGTTTTGCATCTTAAATGTTCCTGTTGAATTGCTGCTGTAAACTTGATTTGGTGTTTATTTTATGTGTGAATACTCTTTTAGTTTGTTTTGTTGGTCAATTCAAGATGGGATAAAAACAGAAATGGTGCGTGTGTTATTCTTTGGAACTGTTGTTGTCAGGAAAATGGCTGAGCTTGCTTATCATCGAAGTGCCAAGAAATGCAAAGAAAAATTCGAGAATGTTTACAAGTACCACAGGAGAACCAAAGAAGGTCGATCTTCAAAACCAGAGGGCAAAACCTATCGGTTTTTCGATCAATTAGCCGCCCTCGAAAATCATCCTCCTCTTCCATCACCACATCCACATCCACCACGACTGCAAACTATTATGACAACGACGACAACGGCGGTGGTGGCAATGCCGGGGAGGTCTAATCCTCCTATTTTGCCACAAGTTACTATTCCATCAACGACGAACCATATAACATTCTCTCAAGATTCTGCCAGACCAATCGTAAACCCTATAAATTCTTCGCGGCCACCATCCCAACCGACACCAGCACCAGCGATAACACCAATGAACACGAATCTTTCTCGAAATACTACACACCCATCTTCTCATCCAAACATATCTGCAAGCATGTTGTCATATTCAACTTCTTCTTCTACTTCATCTGATGAACAGCCCGAAAGGCGGGGAAAGAGAAAGAGAAAATGGAAGGACTTTTTCGAGAGGCTAATGAGGGAGGTGATGGAGAAGCAAGAGGAGATGCAGACGAAATTCTTGGAGAGATTGGAAAAAAGCGAATGCGATCGGATGATGAGAGAAGAGCAATGGAGAGTGCAAGAAATGGCAAGAATGAATAGAGAGCATGATCTTTTAGTCCAAGAAAGATCAATGGCCGCCGCCAAAGATGCAGCAGTGATTCAGTTCTTACAGAAAGCAACTTCACAACAAAACCCCCAATGCAGTTCCTGTGCCCCCAATGCAAATTCAAGTACAATTGCCAGCAAATACATTGCCACCGCCACAATTGCAACAGACACAACCACAGCCACAATCACAACCACCACCACCACCACCACAGCAACAAACACTGCCACCGGCACTAAAAACTGACAATGGTGGTGATAATGTTGTTCCGGCAAGCTCTTCTAGATGGCCAAAAATGGAGATTGAAGAACTGATTAGGCTTCGAACAGAACTTGATCTAAAATATCATGAAAATGGGCCAAAAGGGCCTCTCTGGGAGGAGATATCCGCCGCCATGCGCAACCATGGGTACCACCGGAGTGCCAAGAGGTGTAAAGAGAAGTGGGAGAACATCAACAAGTACTTCAAGAAAGTGAAAGAAAGCAACAAAAAGAGACCTGAAGATGCGAAAACATGTCCATATTTTCACCAGCTTGATGCTCTATACAAAGAGAAAGCCAAAGCTGATGATTCTTTCAATCCAGCACCAATAATGGTTCAACCCGAGCAGCAATGGCCGCTTCCACCACACCAACACCCACCAGATTCCGCCATGGATGGTCATGAGAGTGAGAATTTTGATCAGAATGACAATGAGGATGACGATGGAGACGATGAAGAGGAAGAAGATGATGGTGGTGGTTATGAGGTAGTAACAAACAAGCCATCTTCTGTGGCCACCACAGTTGGCTGACACAAGTATGAGAACAGTTAAAAACCATAGTTTTAAATAACGGTAACTGTCAAGGTAACACTAAAAGAGCAAAAGGTTTGTTACAGGTCCGTGACGGCAATTTTCAAAACTATGGTTAAAATGTTGGTATGTGGCAAGTGAATACTGAGGTTTTCAATCAATGAGAGTCAGATTGCAGAAGAAGTCAGATCGACGGACGGTTTTGTGGGTCAGATTCCGTTTTGGCAGAAGATGGGGTGGTGAAAAGTTGATATACAATATAGGGAAATCACATGGGGCACTGTAAGGCTGTAGTAGTGTGATATGTTTTTTTTTTTAATTATTATTTATTTATTGTTAGGCCAATGAATAACTTTCAGCGGTGATTGATAAAGGGAGATAGGTTTCAAACAATTAAACAAAAAGGATGCATCGTGTCTGTATTTTTCTTTTCTTTTTGTTCATGGGGTGTAAATGTTAGAATTGGTCAGTAGTGTTTTGTTGTATCATGAACATAGAATAGTCTGCGATTTCTCTTTTTTTTTTTTTTTTTTGTGTAATGGAGAATCATCTTATTCAAAAAATTTTCCCTGATATATTACTGCAATTTAAATTCTGGATGCACATAATTATTAGCAAATTACGCGTATTGGTTAAATTTAAATTTTATACAATTAAAAAAAATCGTACTCAAGATGTATAGAGTTATGCCTCACACTTTGTTTTTTCAATAGGGTTGACGATACTTGTTACTACTAACATATATAGAGTGTGATCAAAACATTGATTTAGTAGTTCCTCTCTCTCTCTCTCTCTCACCAATGTCACATGGTGTTACATGAGTTCCTTGTTGTGTGGATCTATATATTACCACAGTGCATAGAAACTTGGAATGAGGAGAAAGACATTAGCTAGTGAAGAGGGCCACCCCCTCACTATATGCCTATATAGAGCACATGAACTGTCCTTTACTGCGGTCCTACTAATTGGGGAACTTCCAAGCTTCAAATAATCATGTATGAATCATGTAGATAAGTTATGTCATCTTCTGACTTCAATGGAACCAATTTTAGATCAGACTATCGTCATTGGCTAAGTATTTATTTCCAATGATTTTTCTTTTGGTACATGGAATGGCCTTGCATGGATATCCACTGAGGAATCAGATAGCAGGTGTTGCAGAATGTAGAGAGCACTAATAGCAATTTACATAGAAGAAGGAGACCGTTGTTGGTTCACAGTGCAATGGAAAGTGATAAAAATGAGTGGCGGAATCAAAATGGAGCGAGACAAGGAACTATATGTGATTAGAGTCAATCCAATAATCACAACTCACATTATGGAGGCCATGTACGTACCCTCTTTGTTTGCGCAATGGAAAGTGATAAAATTGAGTGGCAAAATCACAATGGAGGGAGACAAGGAACTATGTGATTAGAGTCAATCCAATAATCAAAACTCACATTATGGAGGTCATGTACCCTCTTCGTTGCGTGTTCCTAGTGCAATGGAAAGTGATAAAATTGAGTGGCGGAATCCAAATGGATCGAGACGGGTAACTATTTGATTAGAGATGGTACTCCATGAATTAGTTCTAAGGTAAGAATAATGTATCGAAAGAGGAGCTTTATCAAAAGCTAGAACTTGAATCATGCTACAACTTTTTTTCATTAAAGTCACCATAACTAAATAATGGCAAGTTAGGAGAAAAAATTTAGAATTGATATCAAAAAACACTATTTTATTATAACATTGATAAGTAGATTGAGTTTTAACTTCATACTTCTTGTAACATTGTCCAATTTATCAACCGGTCTTTGGTCTAATAGTATCTTTTGTTTTGTAAATGTTTTGTTCTTTTAAAGTTAAAAATTCAAGTTCCTGGAGTGGTCAAAAACGTGGTTGGTTGATAGTACTGATCTCAGTTGCTTAAACAAATCGTATCCAAGTCTATGGTATAGGTTCAAATCCTCATCGAAGTGCAAGTTATAATTTAACTGGTGTATGAATTAAGAGATTAATTCATGTACCTGAGGTTTGTCTTCAGTTGTATTTGGATTTATGAGGCTAAACGATATAAGTACGTCTCCACTTGTCTATTTGAATTTACGAGTTTAAACGACATAAACGCGCTTTTACTTATCGAAAACAAATCAAGAATTTCCCTATTACTTAAAAAAAAAACATTGGCCAATTTGTTGCAATATGTCTATCCAACCTGGAGTCCACCATAGAGTGTTCAAGATTAATGGACATGAAAAGATATTCTGTTATGAAGTTACACAGTATTCATGACATGCAAGCTCCTGTTGCTATCAAACACTAATGCACAAAAAATCTTATCTTTTCTGATTGAACTTATCACCATTTTGGACAGAGAAATTCTAACGTCACCACCAGCAGTTTTAAAACCATAAATGGGGGTGGACCTTGCTGATCAAGCACTACATATGGTCAAGTCTCTCTCTCTCTCTCTCTCTCTCTCTCTCTCTCTCTCTCTCTCCTGCTTCTCTGCTATGCATATACTAGTATGAATATATGATAAAACTTATCTAAGAGAGATAAATCACATAATTAAATAACATTATCTTCAGCTTTTATGGTAGTGTGGACTAATCAAGCACAAGTGAGGATAAACTCAAGTTCACATCTTAGGGATTTTCATGTCAAGCTCATATTTTATGCAGTTATTGACTTCATGTCGGGTATTACAATATTATCTTTGTTGCGATTTTTCTTCTTAGTATAAGTATACATGATTGAAATTATCATTTTTTTTATTCAAACTTTGCATTATTATTCATACATGATTGGTGTTGGGCTGGCTGGCGCTAAGGGATTGGCATAGGGTAGTTGCGAAAAAATTATAAATTTTATGCGCCGTGTCAAAAGTATGAAAGTTTATATTATAACACACTTTTTATTTGGTGATTTTTATGTCAAATAAATAGTTATTACATGTGAATTGGGAGAGATATTCCTCTCACAATGTATAAAGTTAGAGCATCTCTAAATCATTTTAAAATATGTAGGGTATTTTCTATAATTACTAGTAATGCACGACGTGTGTTGCAAGTAAATATATTTAAATAATAATTTTTTATAAAAAATTTAAATTAAATATGTAACATATATTTGGACCGTTACTAAATTGCTGTTGTGATGGATGTCACACTACAAAGTAAAATTAATTAGGTTTAATTTCTTGGTACTACTTAATAACAACATTGTCCTGGATTTTTACTTGAATTTATTAAATTTAGGACCCCGGTCACCTGCATTTCAATTATATAGGACAATTAAATGCATTTAAGACGTTTTGTACCACTTTTACTCGACTTAAATGATTATAAAATTGATCCGATTATTAAATACGCATAATAAATAATTCAGATTAATGTTTAATACTCAAAACATACTAAATAGATTTTTTTTCGTGAGTCTTGACACGAGCACGATACGAATAATAATGATACGATACGATACAAATAACACGACATGTGGGTCACCCGAACACAACGCGATTGACCCCTCTAGGTTAGGGTTTGTATCATTGATAATTACTATTTCAATTTATTTTCAACAAATTGTGTGATTGTGGGTATTATAAGGGTCCTTTCAATTGGTTTCCCCTCTCCCCCATCCCTCAAAAATATAATATCTTTAAGGATATTTATTGGAGGCTGTAATTGGAAAAAAAGATTACTTCAATCTTCCTTGGCATCCCTTAATGGATTGTAGCCCATAATTTCCATAGATAATTCAAAATTGAATTAAAAAAATTTGATATTTAACGTGTTGAAAATAACTTATAAATGAGAAAAATCTCAGTAGTGTGATCTTTCAAGGTTGTAAATGCAAACACCGAAGCTCTTGTTGTTCTTCGAGCAATGCCCTCATCTTGTTTTGAGAGTGTATTTAGTTTTGGAGAAACAAAACGTACAGAATTGAAAATGATGGCCACTTCTCATCCACCATCGGCACTCACAGAATTAAGGGACATTAAAAATATGTTTGAGGAGTTTTTAACTTGGCTCAATATCATCCACCATGCATGATAAGGGGTGATTACAATACTTTTTTTTTTAATGTTTTTTAAAAAAGGTTTGTTGAACAAAAACAATTTTTTAAGTGTAAAAAATTAAATTTTTGGTCGACTTTAAATCTAAATTAAAGTGGGATCCGTTCATTGTTTCGAGTAAACTTTTGTGGGTTTGTGTTCTACTCCGTGGGGAGAATAATTTAGTATATCCACTTTCTCAAATCGAGTAAAAAATGAATGAGAAAATATGCTCCAAAGTTATCCTCTTAAAATGTAAAAATAGAGGTTGTATAATGTGAGATTTGACATCAATCCCATATTGGTTGAAAAAGAAATTCTACATGAATATATATAGGCTAGTTTGCTCCATGAGATTGGGCCTCAATGAGTACCACAGTTTTATGCGTGGACCAAACGCCTACATGTCTTCGGTTCTATCACACATGTGCGCGTTGCACCTGCCACAGCCCGGTCGGGCTCAAGTGTGGAAGTGGTTTAGATTAAATCTTATATTTTTAGAGAAAATTCGTTTAATTAATTGGACGAGAATTTCTAAACCGAAATTAAATTTCGATACCTGCTCGTATTGGTTAAGAGGATAATCTCCTTTCCATTCAAAATTTTGAGTTGTGTTTGTTCATAGAGAACAATTACACAAGTGGTGTTTTCTAATTGCATGTGTCCGCTGGGTTGCATCCGTTCAGATGGTGACTGTCCAGATCAGTCATCACTCTGTCTATAAATAACCCATCACATGATCATTTTGCATCCAATACATTCGTAGTCATTTAAGACAGTCTCATATATCATTAAGGCAGTCTGCATTTGGAGAGTACACAATACAATTTCTAATTCGCTGGACAAGTAGATTAGAGTACTTCTTCTACTCATGTGAAGATTATTGTATCTTGGGAGACAGACGCTTTATATTCCATAAGCACCGTGTGTAAGGCGAAATATATTTTAAGGATATAGTATT